GAGATATTGGCGAAAGAAGGAGATGGGGGTCACCTGTTTTCAGAGATAAAATTAGAGAGAAACTGGCCACAAAAGTTTTGTTGTTTCCTTAGCTTAAAAGTCCGTGGTAACTGAAAATTTACATTTTTTGTGCCTTTAATCAACGTTTTTCAGAAAAATCAACACATACATCAGTTCTTCAATGAGCGTGAAAGGTGATGAGCCCAAAAACAAAAATTTGATAAAAATTCACAAACCAGCAGAAAAATACACGTTTCTTCACTTTCATTATTTTGACGAGAGCCTGATTCCACCACGCTGCCTCACAAATATTTTCAGGGGACCCAGACCTTCAAATAGGTGGAGATCAAGACGAACTAAAAATATCCTTGTCGTGTTGGTATAACGCTATACTAACAGCACATATCAATTATGATAGTGTTTCCGCCAAATGAAAATTTCGATGCATATAGCCTGCATTATAATTCTTTTCAGTACACATTTTGGCAGTTTGACAGTTAACATATTGAGTCTTTCTTAAGTATATCTTGGTTCCGTGAAACATTCCGGGGTCTGCGGGACTAAGAAGCGGACGGTCGTAGTTTGAACCCCCAACGAAGCACTCTGAATGCTTTTTGGGGAAGTTTGGGTTTTTTTTAATTTAGAGCTGGGCGAAGGACCGATTCCGGAACCGATTCCCACGATTAATGCCACGGAAGAAAAGTTCCGACTCCTTTTTACGCGGTTACCAGCTATTTAATCATTAAAATCTTCTTTTTTTAAATTTATTTTTGAAAAATGAAAGTTGATGCTTCGTAATGTTCCGAAATCAAGGTTATCCTAAATCCTGAAGATGCTCGGAGCCAACCAGGTAACCACCGGAAGAAATCACATCATTAGAAAGTAAGTAATTGGGTTCGGAGTCGATTCCTACGATTCCTAGCTTTCAATAATCGGGAACATAGCTGCCCAGCACTGCTCTTCACCCAACTGGCTCAGTCTTATCTGAGATCGAAGATCGGCGTCAAATTCGGAGGTCCCGCATCTTAAATAACATAGTGGGGAAAGGGGCGTTAAAGTTAAACCTGCTGCTCTTTTTTTCTTCAGAGGACGTGGCGTTCTGGGTTTACTTACCTTATTCTGCGTGAGTCCGCCGTTGAGCTGCTGGATTCTCGTCTGGTGCCTCGTCTCGTCGCTGGTCGTGAGGACTTGACTGTGGCGGACGCTGTGCAGGTATCGACGACGCTCTCTGTAGTACTCCTGGGAGTCCACCGCTCTGTGGGTGGTGGTTGAAAAAA